TGTTTGGAGTTGTTTTCTGCGGGGGGGTGTAGATCCTTGTTTATTTTTTCCCCAGTGTTCACATTTAGCAAGGTGATGTTCTGGATCTCTCCTGGTGAGATTCCATCCATTAAAAGAAAGCTAGCATTGGTGATGGCAAGGAAAATGTCTGCGGGTACATTGGTGCCTGTGAGGGACAACCATCACTTTTTTTAGGATGACATCATAATTAGTGTTTATTAAGCCCTGGGAATTGGGGGGGGGGGATTAAACAGTTACTGATAATAGCAATAGCATTTAGATTTATATACCGCTTCATAGTCCTCTCTAAGCGGTTTACAGAGTCAGCATATTGCCTTCAACAATCTGGGTCCTCATTTTACCAATTTTGGAAAGATGGAAGGCTGAGTCAACCTTGAGCCAGTGAGATTTGAAGTGCCGAACTGCAGCTAACAGTCAGCTGAAGTTGTCTGCACTACTGCATTCTAACCACTGTGCCACCTTGGCTCTTATGACAATATTTGCCCCAGATTCATGATCTAATTTAGAATGGCTTTTCCTGGCATCACGTTTCTGACTTGCCAGCTATCCATATTCTGAAAACAGACAGTTAATTCACTTCACAACCAAGTTACTAACTGTGGTGATTCAGTTAGCAACTGTGGCAAGAAAGGTTGTAAAATGGGGCCAAATTCACTTAACAACATTCTGTCTTAGCATCACAAATTTTGGGATCAGGTGTGGCCTTAGGCCAAAACTACCTGTAGCTGTATTTTTCTGGCTCCAAATGGTGGGAAATTATTCTACCAATTTTTAACAATTACACCAAGGATTGGCACTGACGTTCACAAAAAGGATTTTGGAGGTCACAGGTTGCCCATCGTGTTATAAGTCATGAATGCATAGACAATAAAAGGAAAAGCATGCAAGTTTTGCAAAAAGCCACGTATAAGCATTTGTGTTGTGGTCTGTCGGCCACCGGCCCCTCCAGCATCCGAATCCGAGGAGGTGTGGGAGTCAGGGTCAGCTCCCAGGGAGAAGAGGAAATGGAGCTGGCAGAGAGAGAAACAGGTGGAGCCTGGGCCATCCGTCAGCCCTCAGATGGAGCGTCAACAGCTCCCAGGTTTGGAGGTGGTTGATGAAGAAGAGGAACACCTGGGCCAGTGCCTGATGCGCAGAAGGCAGAGGAGAGGAGAGCAGTGGAAATCTGTGGGCTGATCCTTGGGAAGGAAGAGCCACCACTGCTAGCGAGGTCCTCCCCTAGTTTTGGCGATAAAAAAGACAGGGGGCAGAGATGAATAGATGTGGCAGACAACTATTCATCTTTCAGCCGGACTTGTTAGCCTGCGTTGAGAGAGAAACTTTTGCCAGGGCTTCCAGAAGTCCTAGTAAAGGAATTTTTTGAGTTCACTTCAGAGCATTTGTCGTGTTTGGGGAGCTGGGTCAGAACAATTTGTTAGGGGGAAAAATGAATGGGCTCTGCAGAATAAGAAAAAAAACATTATCTGGACACCAGGTGATTAAATATCTCTAATGTATATTTTAAGAAACGTGCATCACTTGAAAGAAGAAGTTAAGAAATGGAAGGAGCGAGCTATGAAGAGGAGGGAGCGTGTCTTGGGAGACACCATTGAGGAGCATAAAATAAAATCTCCAAAGAAAGCGCCAGTTTCTTCTCATTTGGCATTGCCAGCCTCTCCCTGCAAGGAGAGCTCCATGCAGCCAATCTTGCCTTTGGACACACCACACTTGATGCCGTCGAACAGCCAATCAAATTTCTTTGATAACTCATGCTTAGGGATTACTGCAAGTAAGTAACAGCATGATGCATTCTTAGATGCTAAGACGAAGAGCCTATTTTAGAGTAAAACTGTGTTGGGATCACACACACACACAGACGCAAACCTCTGTGTTTACCAGCTTGTTTTCTGATCCATTTGCTTTTTCTATAGATTGCACACGTAAAACAAGTCCTACAAAATGTAATGATCAGCAGGAAAAATGTTTCAAAACATTGTAGGATTAGTTATTGTTTATTCACTGCATGAGATAGCCAAGAGTGTTGTGGCCTGTAAGGCCACCAGCCTCTCCAGCAGCTGACTCAGAAAAGGATGAGGTGTGGGAATCAGGATCAGCATCATGGTAATCTGAGAGCTCCGAGGGGGAAGAGGGAGTGGAGCTGGTAGAGAGAGAGAAACAGAGGCAGACCCTGGGCCGTCTGTCAGCCCTCAGATGGAGAGTTAGCAGCCCCCAGTTCTGGAGGTGGCTGATGAGGAAGAGGAGGAATAGCCAGGTCCAGTGCTTGATGCGCAGCTGTGCAGAAGGCAGAGAAGGGAAGAGCAGTGGAAAGCCATGGGCCTATCCTGGGGAAGGAAGAGCCACCACTGCTAACTAGGCTCCAACCTAACTCTGGGGATAAAAGGCAGGGGCGGAGATGAATAGGTGTGGCAGACAACTACCGTATTTTTCAGAGTATAAGATGCGCCCAAGTATAAGATGCACCAAGGTTTTGAAGTGGCAAATTTTTTTAAAAAAGTTTTTGCACTCTGCGAACTTCCCAAAAACGGCCCGTTTTTCATGAAAACAGGCCCGTTTTTTTAAAGGGCATGAATACCCTCTAGGAGGCTTGTACAGTGTTCCTGGGGAGGCCTCCCAAAATGAGCAAAAAATGATCCATTTTTGCAAAAACCGGCCCATTTTTTGTCGAAAAAAGGGCATGCATAAGCTTTAAGGGGTTTTTTGGGGGCCCCGGGGGGGGGGGGGTATTGAGCAAAAAAATGACCTA